GGGGATGGGTTAGCCTGGTGATGGGTATTAAAGAGGGCACGTTCTGCGTGGAGCACGGGTGTTATGCACAAACAATGAATCATGGAACACTACATCAAAAACTAATGATGTAATATATGGTGATTAATATAACAATAAAGAAATTTAAAGGGGAAAAAAAAAAAGAAAGCTGCCCCAGTGGAATCTGGGGAGTTGGAAGAGCCTTTGGGAAACACAGAGGGAGGGCATTGTTCAGGGCAGATTCTAGTAGAGCAATCCGGACCATGGCACAACGTGGTCATCAACATGAAGGTGGCACCACAGGTGTGCTTTCTTCTGACAGGATAGTAGTTAGTCAGCCAACTGACCAAAAAAATTGGTCCAAGTGGGGAAATGTAAAGACATTATACTTTGTAAGCCATGAAAATGTTAACTTTTTCACCAATTTCATGGTCTGGGTGAAACCTTTTCCTTTGAGGGTGCGTGTCTGCTAAATGGACTTACATTTCACCTTCCTCACGCAAGCTGCAACTGTAACGAAAGGAGTTCAAATCCCAGGTTGTTTTTTCTTTTTTCTTTTTTCTTTCTTAGATGGAGTAGAACATAAAAGACCCTTGTGAGGCAGTCCGGGGCAGATTTTTATGTTTTTCCCCCCTCATCTTTTACACTTCTTTTGCTCACCCCCAATTTGGCAGTGGTCTATTCTTAGCTACTCACTAAGTTAGTTTTCCCGAAAATGACTTTTGTTCTCCTGTTTCCTTGGTTAACACAACATGTAACCACACGTGTTAATTGACATAGCAAGTCTTAGTGACATAAATCGGTTTGCGAATACATACAGTTAAGCCCTGGTTAAGTGTACCCTTGACTCAGGGGAGTAGAGCTGTGTGGGTGAGCAGAGCGCCCAGCCAGCCCGGAGACCCAGGAGCTCCAGGGCCTGCCAGTGTATTTCACAAAGGATGCGGGTGGTTTTGGCTAATCCAACTCCACACGGTGATGGGGGTGAAGGCTGTGTCTCGTAGGCAAGAGTATGGAGGGGCCTGGAGGGTGTGCAGAGTAAGAACACAGGCTTCTGTCGAGAGATATCAGGATTAAGCAGCCATCAGGGGGAATTGACGGAAGATGGTCAGAGTATGAGGGAAACTGACAAAAGTGTTCTGGAGAAGCCTTTAGAACCTCTTTTTAGACTTATCTCTGTGTCTTCTCTTTGCCCGGGCTGGCAGTGATCTGAGGTCAGGGATGGCATATCGGGCACCATTCTTTGTTCTCTTTCTAGTCCATTAGCTGGCACTTGGGAAACCTCTCATACATATTTTTGAATGGAGGAAAGCGCATGTTGTCTCCCTTGGGCTTGTTGACAGAGGATGGGCATCCTTCGGCACAGTGAGTCTCTGCCCTGGAAATCACAGGTCAGCAAAGCGTGTGCCCTCTACTCTCATATGTTCCGTGTCCCAGGTTATCCCAGTGACGACCGATGTGCAAACTAAGATCGTCATTGAGCCTATAGTGCGTGGTCAGCCACACACGTCTAGACAGGCCTCCTGGTGTCTATGAGGTACACCTGGGCAGGGAAGGCAACAGGTATGATCTCAGTGGACCCAGCTATAATGATGTGAAAGATAGAAAAGCCACATTTTTCACTGATGTGAAGATTTGCACCCATGATATTATATAAGTCAAAGTCTTGGATGGTCCCCACTAGACCTTCACGTGGTGACTTCCCCGTAGGGCAACAAAACACTTACATCCTTAATGTTGGCATATTTTAGTGTCAAAAAGCAAGTGTAATCATCAGAAACTTACAGTTTTAAGAACTGTGATATCACAGTGAATATAATTTGTTCATTTATTCCTGCATTTAGCAAATGCTGTGGTGTTCTGTGTGCTCTGTCAGTCTTCATTCATGAAGTAAGGAGGTCATTGCTCTGTTTCTCTATAAGCTCATGGCTGTCGGTCTGCTCTGTTGAGAGTAGCCAAGGACCGGGTGTCAGCCTATGTCACTCGTTGTCTCTCAGGCTTGATTTAAGTTAGCAGAGTATGCTGGAACCTGGAACTGGAGGTGAAAGCCTATAGCCTAAGTGTCCCTCTCTCCCTTTCCTTTCCCTCGGGCAGCTTGGGGATGAACCACGACGATGACCACTCATCCTGCGCCGGCAGATCCCACATCATGTCAGGAGAGTGGGTAAAAGGCCGGAACCCCAGTGACCTCTCTTGGTCCTCCTGCAGTCGCGATGACCTTGAAAACTTCCTCAAGTAAGTCCTTGAATCATTCTGTACAATCGCTACAATGGAAAGTACTTCCAGAGGACACAACAATTGGAGTCTTAGCAAGTGTGGGAAGGAGAAACGACTCTCTTAGAACTCTCAGCTGGCCTAAAGAGGCGGTCGGTACAGAACCTCCCGGATCTGGCCTAAACTTCCTCCCAAATATATGTCTGGTATGATGCGGGGCACCCAGCTGCTATTCATAAATGCTTTGTTGCTTGATTGACTATCAACACGGTGACCGTGACTTGAAGAGAACCCCATTGCGTTACTCTGCAGTATTTTGACCCTGAATGGACACCACCTTAGCAGCATCCCTTGGCTGCTATGGAAAAGGGCATTTCCTTAATGCTCAGGCTGCTTCCCTTGATAGGGAGCACATTTGCTGGCGAGCCGGGCCTGCTCACCTCCCTCCCCTGTGGGGATGGGCTCTGTTTATCTCACTGCCACTTTCTTTCCAGGATACAGCTGCACCGTTCCACTCGCAGATTTCCATCTGATTTCAGACCTTTGTCAAACAAAGCCTTGGCTCCTGTACTGTGAGGGTCCCTTAGTGTCAAGACCTTAGGGACAAATTTACAGATTTGATGGGCAGACCTGATCGCTCTTACTTAGCTGGATTCATCTGTCCACTCCGTGGAGATGAAAGGGACTCAGGGAGTCTTACCTGCCTATGGAGCTTTGTAGTTCAGTAACACATTAAAGCGCCCAGTGAATTTGGGATGGAGCAGCCAGAGGCATCACTCTGCCTTCTGTCTTAATCCTGAGTCTTCTTTTGTGACATTTCCTGTGGGTTGGGAAATTAAGTGGGTACACATGTCTTAAAAATGGACTTGTTGGTTTTAATATAATCTATTTCCTCCTGAGTACTTGTTATCACAGAACCTTAATGAAATGTTGTAAGCCACTTGACATTGTTTCATTTTTCCCAGAAGCGTCAGTGAAATGGGGCAGGGTATTTTCATTTGCTCATATACATATTGCTGGTCCCACTGCCTTTGTTAAAGTGTTGTGTGTGTCTGAGCCTGGGAGAAGTGGCCCAGCGTCAGCCTCTATGTATTCGTGTGCGATTCTGTGCCTCAAGAATCTTGGCAAGAGGCTGGCTTTCCTTTCCACAGCCATCTGCCTTGTTTTGGGAATTAAGAAATCAAAGCATTCAAGTATTTAACCTCCATTAGGAGCCACAGCCTCACAGCCCCCCAGTTCAGTTTCTCAGAGTTGTTCTCAACATCTTGTGAACATTTCCACCCTGGTTGCAATCCTGATGTCTTTTGCAGACTGTGCCACCAGCCAACTTTCGGGGATGGGACACCTAGACCCGTCAGCTGCCAAAGCCTACCACAGACCCTCCAAGAGAATCTGCAAAGCTGGAAATAAGCACTTGGTTTTTATTTGAAATAAAGCAAAATGACCCTAACTTCTTTTTTTTCCTCATTCATAGTAATTTTGCTCAAAGACATATTCTGAGAAAATACCGTAGGAATCTATTTCAAAAGTATTCTCATCCAAGAATGCTCAAGCTTGAGAAAAGTACATTAGCCTCGTCGGTGTGATTCTCAGGCCCTTTCCTAGTTGCTAAACTCCCATTGCCTTTGCGGTAAAGATCTGGTTTGGGTCAGGTAGAAAAAGAAGAAAAAGAGAAAAAAAGTGCAATCCATGGAGCCCAGGGCCTGGGTCATTCTGCCATTGGTAATTTGGAGATGCATCCTTCTCATCTGCTCTTAGCTGACAAGTCAAAACAAAAACCTGGGCAGGGCACTTGCAAGTCAGCTTGCCTCTTGGCTGTTTCAGGTCGAAAGTCAGCACCTGTCTGCTGGTTACAGACCCCAGGAGCCAGCACGCGGTCCGTCTCCCTCACAAGCTGCCGGGTATGCACTACAGCGCCAACGAGCAGTGCCAGATCCTGTTTGGCACCAATGCCACCTTCTGCAGAAACATGGAGGTAAGCAGCCCCAGGAGGACTGGCTCAGGAGGGAGCATCTGGCTTCTGTCGGAGGACACAGCCACCCATACGCGACACACACACACACACGTATGCACGCACACATTCACTTACCCATGTGTGCGTGTACATACACCCTCACGGGCATTTGCACAGGTGCACCCCACCCTTCTTGGAAGTGATGTCAAGTCCCCTGATATCAAACCCCGGATAGCTATGGAAGGCAGCTAAAAACCATTAAACGTGGGAAAGCGTCAGGTCGAGAACATTTACTAAATAATAGATTTGATTATTTGATAGTAGCGTCAATAACCCCGTTAAGATGTTACCATTTACTGAGCAGTGCCCGCGTGTTTTGTCCTTTGCTAGAGCTTCTAATGTGTGAGCCTGGTTAGCCCTCACCACAGGCTTCCGGGTTGCTCTCCCCAGTGCACAGATGGTAACACCAAGCCTCCAAGGTTAAGCAGTCATTCAAAATGGCTTGGTTAGTAGGTAGCAGAGCAAGGATTTGTCTCAGGTCTGTTCATCCGCAAAGCACACACTTTCTCACCATGCTGTAGACAACAAGCCGCAGTTTGGCCCCTTCTGGGGGTGGAGGTGCCAAGATGGACGCACGGGGACCTGGGGCAGTGCCGTCTCCATGCCATGGCCCAGGGGGAGGCCAGAGCAGCCTATGTCCTAGCCAGCAGTTGGCCCAAGTAGGGGGCCAGAGTCTGTGCCGTTCTGGAGCAGAAGGCCAGAAGCAGGAGAGCTAGCTGGGGTGGGGGTATGTGGGACTCAGGAGCCACCCAGTGGCCGTTGACCTGAGGGAGGCCGGCTAGTGCTGGAGCTCAGGGTGGCATCGAATCCCAGGGAGGGAGCCTGGAGGGCGGGACAGGTTCCCGGAGCTAGAACCTAGGGCGAGACCAACTCCAAGACAGCCACACCGGCGACTCTGCCTCCAGAATGAGACCCCGGGGTCACAGCCAGCAGAGCAAGTCAGCCTGGACTCCGGGAGGCGGGATGCTGCCTCTCAAGTGCTTCCTGGCTCTGGGGGAGTTGGTTCAGGAAATCAGGGCGGAGTCCTCAGGTGATGGAGGACTTTTGATGCCATTGTTTGGGGGTGCAGAAAAGGGCAGCGCCTCAAAAGCAGGCTAGCACTTCCTGCTAGCTGTTTCCCCGAAGGGCATTTGTTCATGGCACTGTCGTGAATCTTCCTCTCCCATCCCCCTGTGGAGGTGCCAGCAAGGGTCCCTTCCAGAGCCGTCACCCACTGTACACTCCAATGCCTTGTACCTTACACCTCTGTGGGGAGATGCAGTGAGCCCCAGCATTCGATCATCCCTGGCAGTCTGCCACTGGTATGTCTGGTGCTCACCATCGGCCTTGACCACAAAGACTCTCCGTTAGATACCATGTGCTAGCTAGGGGGCACCCTGTTTGCCTGTCCCAGCCTTCAGTCCTTTAAAGTACCTGATGACACAGAATCATCAGAAAGGGCAGCTTTCACAGGGTCCTTTGATGATGTGGTGACGACACAAAATCCATGTGGATAGAACCCCAGGGGAGGACCCTGAGCATTCAGGAAGAGTAGAGATGACCTGGGTGGAGAAGAGAGAAGTGCCCAGCTGAGTCAGGACATAGAGCAGGCACTCGGCACAAACTCAGGGCTGGTGGGATGTGGCAGGCCAGGCTGTGCTGGCCCGACCAGGGGCGGGATAGACGGGGGAGGTGGTGGGAAGCCAGGCAGAGACCTCTTCCTCCCTCAGAGCTGCAACCATTTTTGCCTTTTAAGAGCCAGGTAATCGCACACCATTTGGGCCCGGAGGGATAGGAGTGAGGAGGTACCTATACTGGGGGCTCATGATCTCCCAGGCAGAGAGAGCACATAGGAAGGGTCAACTTTCCATGCAGTCACATGAAACCCTGACTGCAACCGTCAAGGCAGAGGCTTTGTACCCCATTTAACAGATTAGAAAACAGAGGCTAAGAGAGGTTAGGTAATGGGTCGAGGTCACCAGCCAGGAACGGCGGGTGGGCTGCAGACTGAGCCCGGGTGTGTCTGTTACTGAGGGAGAAAATGAAGACTATGTACAGTCCTTTAAAGACAGACTCCAAAGGGGAGGAAGGTGACCTGGTATTTCATCTTCCTTTGTGAGCTTCATTTTGTTTGAAGAAGACAGCGAAATGTCCACAAGTAATGATCAGCTTAGCTATGCTACTTTTTTTTTTCTCCCTAGAAGCCCAAGATACAAATATATAAAGTGAGATCCTCTCATTGTGTAAGTTACAGGGAAGCTGAGCATTTATTCCCACAGCTCACCAGGAGCCACAAAAGTTGTCTTCCCACTTGCCTTTTCTTTGAGAGCTCACCAGTACTAAAATAAAATGGATGTTTGTCTTCCCCACTACCTAGCAGGAGTGGAAGAGCATGTGTTAACACGGCTGACTAGCTGGCCGGCAGCCTCAGGGAGCTGGTGGAAATTTTCCTGCTTGCAAGGCGAGGGTGCTCTCTGCAGTGTGAATCTCACAGTCAGATGGCGGTAACTCACACAGTCAGATGGCGGTAACGCACACAGATGGCGGTAACGCACACAGTCAGATGGCGGTAACTCACACAGTCAGATGGCGGTAACTCACACAGTCAGATGGCGGTAACTCACACAGTCAGATGGTGGTAATGTCATGCTGATGCACAAGAGGCACTGCTGGAGAAGCACGAGGCCAGCTGGGAACCCAGGAGTGGTGCCTAGGCCTGGGACACACCATATGACTCAAAGCCAAACTAAGGCAGTACCCCACTACGGGATTTTTTTTAAAGATTAATTTATTTATTTGAAAGAGAGAGAGAGTCTTAAGCAGACTCGGCGCTGAGTGTGGAACCCAACGGGGTGGGTGGTGGGGGGGGACTCAATCCCAGGACCCTGAGATCGCGACCTGAGCTCATGACCTGAGCTGAAATCAAGAGTCAGACGCTCAATGGACTGAGCCACCCAGGAGCCCTCCAACTAAGGGAGTCTAAGGCTTGCTTTATCATCAGTTTACTCATGTGGTACCTTTATGGATCTGTGTTTCAGTGAGTGTTCAGTATAACAGAAGGGCGTACATATGTCGTATTGTTCCTTTCTTATTCCCTGTAACACCGACTTTCTGGTGCATGAGCCCCTTCCCCTCTTCATCCTAGTCCTCGCCTCCTTCTGCATCCCCCTTTCACCTACTCTGTTCCAGCTAAATTGCCTTCCTGCTCTTTCTTGAACCTGCAGGGCATGCTCCTGGCAGGGACACTCTCTGCTTCATGCTGGCCATTTCTTCTACCAGAATACTCTTCTCTCACTTGTCCCTGTGACTAAGTGCCTCATCTTTTTTGAGTTTTTTGGGGTTTTGTTTTTTTTCAGAGGTAACCTTCTTAAGGAGGCCTACCCTGACCATGCTATTTAAGTTTTTAATCTGGTAAGGGGCGCCTGGGTGCCTTGGCTAGTTAAGTGTCTGACTCTTGATTTTGGCTCGGGTCATGATACCAGGGGTGTGAGTTCAAGCCCCGTGTCAGGCTCCATCCTCAGCAGGGAGTCTACTTGAGATTCTCTCTCTCGCCTCCTTCTGCTTCTTCCCCTACCTTGCCTTCACTCAGTCAGTCAGTCAATAAAATCTTTAAAATGTTAATCTGGTAACCCTCTCCTACCCACTCTTAGAGCATCTGGGTCTCCTGATTCCCTAAGGGAAAGCCCTACTTTCACAAACTTATCATGCTATATAATTCACTTGTTTGTTATGACTATTGATAATCTCCCTCTAGATGATAAACCCTTCAAGGGCAGGAATCTTTGCTTTTACTCATCAGTGTTTTCCAAGTACTTTGGTCAGTGCCTAGCATATAGTAGAGGCTCAATAAGTATGTGTTGATCTGGGATCCATCCATAACCCTAACAGCAAATTTAAGTTCTCACGTGACTTTACCCAACCACCAATGGCCCTGGGGACAAGGTGTGTTGAAGAAGAAACTCTTAGAGACCCCCTGTATAATTATAATGTATTGACTCTCTAAACCCGAATTCACGATCCATTTCACCAACATACATGTAAGACTCTGTCATATGTCTTGCAGGGACCCATACAGATCTTTCCTGTGGCTTCCTCCCAGGGCAAGAAACTGCTCAAAGCAGCACGGTAGATCTGGTAGTGAGTGCTGCAGGCTGGTTCCTAGTGACCGTTTCTGTATGTCTCTTCTTTGTGCATTAGTGGCCTCATTTGGTAAAATCCAAGGCTCCTGGTAAGTTAATACACATGAGGTGCTGAGAACTGAGTCTGTTACCCAAATACTTGAGCTTATATGTGTGTTATTACTACCTTTCTGGATAACACTGATTCCCATCCATTGGAGCACAGAACTAATCTGTCCGTGTCCATCTGTAGGATCAGCATTTCTCTGTATTGAACTTCTCAGGGCCATGGAAAATTAAGCATTATGTAACACCTATATTCTTCTGGCAACCAGAGACATCCAGAACCAGTCAGAAAGGTCTTTTAATCCAATGCCAAATTGAACTTCATAACCATTATTATTCTTTAATGCCCTTGAGGATTGAATTGGATCTCATGTAATAAAATGATCATGGTCCCAATGTTGCCTTTAATTTCTTATTCTGACTTCTGCCTTTGGCCAAGATGAAGTAACAGGGACCAGATTTGCCTTCCCACCTGAAGTAACTAAGAAATCAGATGACCTATATGAAATAGTGATTTTTTTCTTGACATTGGACATCCAGCAAGAAAGAATTGTGATCCTTTGGTGCCTGGGTGGCTCAGTCGTTAAGTGTCTGCCTTGGGCTCAGGTCATGGTCCCAGGGTCCTGGGATCGAGCCCTGCATCGGGCTCCCTGCTCAGCGGGAGGCCTGCTTCTCCCTCTCCCACTCCCCCTGCTTGTGTTCCCTCTCACGCTGTGTCTCTCTCTGTCAAATAAATAAAAAAAAAAATCTTTAAAAAAAAAAAGAAAGAATTGTGATCCTTGAGAGATGTGAAGCACC